ATTATTATTGTTACTCACCAGCGATTCTCGTAAGACAAATGTGACCAAAGCTCCTTTTCTTGCTTGCTCTTCAGCCCGGCTCTGGCTGCCCACCGTCCCCTGTTCCTGTGAGAAAGGACTGGAAGAGTTTAACTCTTGTTTCTTACCTGCATCATTTAGGCTTCTAGTAGTAGTTTATTTTTTTTTTTAATTTGGGGTGTCTGTTTTAGTTTTGCGGGTGTCCCAGACTGAGCCCCGTGGGATGCTCTGTGCCCCTGTGCAAACATCTTTACAGCCTCGTGCCCCCGCTGTGGTGGGGACCCGCAGGGTGGGGGGGTGTACCTGGCACCCCCTCCCCGGCACCCCGTCTGCACCGTTAACTACTCACACGATGGGAAAAAGGACAGTGGCTGTAAATCACTCTGTTGGCTTTGCTATTGAAACGAAAAAGGTTGTTTTGTTTATTTTTGGAGGGTTTTTTTAATGAAGTCCCGTATGTTTCCAGTTAGTTTAGGAACCTCCCTCCCCACCAGTGACTCCTGCCCCGGCAACAAAAGCCCCTTTTTCATCCCTGACAGCTCTGCAGAGGGGAAAGGGCAGGATTTAAAAACAAAACCCAAACCCCACAGCCCAAATGCCACAGGCCTCACCACTGGCAGACGTCGACGCAGCGCCGAGCGGCTGGGGTAGGCGGGGAGCGGGGCCAGTCCTGCCCCACGGTGCCAGGAGCGGTGCTGCCGGCCCGGCTCCGGCAGCCTTGGGAGAAGAACAAGAAAACTCTGTGGACGGACTTGAAAGTGAGCATCACCCGGCATCCGTTTCCAGGGAGGAACGCAGGGATCCGGCTCGAGCTGCGGGCTCGGAGCCGGGGAAGTGGGGCTCGGCCGTGGCTGGGGGCTGGGGGCTGGGGGCTGGAGCAGGGGCTGGGTCCCACCTGGTTTGTTACTTCTGGGCTGGTATGTGATGCCTCCAGCGTGGGAGCGTAACTGAGGCTCTGTCTCGCCAGCGGGAGGGCGTCCTCCGGAGCCGTGGGCTCTCCGGGGCCAGCTACAAAGGAGGCAGCGGGGTGATGGAGCGGGCAGTTGCTTTGGCTTTCTACGGCCTCCGTTGAGAACAGCCCGCCCTTGGTGCTGGAGCCTCCAAAATGTATCTTTAAGGCATTACAAATGAAGCCCATTTAAGCTCTTTATGACTTGCCTCGGGCTGTCCGTGAGGGCAGGTGACTGAGCCGAACTACGCCGCTCTCAGAGGTGTTTTACCAGGGCAAGGGCCCGACGCTCCAGCAGCTCCCCGGGCCCGGCCGCGGAGGGTCGGCGGCCCTTGCC